AAATCTCCAGGGCGCCCTGCACCGCGATCCAGGCCAGAATCTCCACGGCGCCCGTCGCCGAAATCCAAATGAAAATTTCCAGGACGCCCTGCGCCGAGATCCAGCCGCTCCTCCACACTCGCGACGAGCCCCGTCGAGATGGGCCGCACCCTGGACTCAAGCACCCCTCCGCGCGCCAGATGGGCGCAGCCTGGCGCGTTGTCGACTTTCTGCCACTGCCAGCGCTCGATTGCACGCCACAGCAGTTTCTTGATCACCCACGGGGAGGTGTCGAATATCTTCGCCTCCGAGCCGTCGTGGCACCGCCGGCGCTCGGCATCAATGACCCCCCCGCCCGCGCGGCGCAACGTTACGGCGACCGCGGACAAGGGGGCCTGCACGCGGGCCCAGCTGGTGGCTCGCCACTCGGTCAGGCAGGTTTCCACCATGTGCCGCGGCATCCAGCCGCCCCAGACGGCGCGGGGAAACATCGCGACAATGCCCAGCGTAGCCCCAAGATGGGGTCCAACCCCGGGTGCAACATCAGCGCCAACGTGCGGGGCCTGCCCGCCGTGCTGGACGAAATGGCGGTGACGGTGATGGTCCTCGCCTTGTCCAACTCACACTGGGCGCATCCCGTGGCCCCACCCAACTCCGAAGGCCACGCTGGGCCCCAGCCCTGTCTTTGCCAACCGCCGGGCTGCAGCCTTGCGGCCCTTGCCTGTCTAGGTCACCTGAACTCGACGAGCTTGCTGCAACCGCCCAGCGCGCACCGATCCAGGTCGCCGCGGCCGCCCCCCCCCCAGGTCGGCGGGACAGCGCAGGCACATCTTGTCGCGCTCGGCGCGCCACCAGCGCTTCCACTCCTTCTCCGGCTGCTTCACCTGTGCCGCCTGGTGGCATGGCGCACCAGTGCCAGCCTCGTCCTCGGGGCCCTCGTGCCGGCCGATGGGCGTCCTGGGCACTGCGTGTAGTCCGCCGGCGCCACCTCGCAGCTGCTGCGACACCCGCTCGTCGAATGCTCTCCCTCGCTCGTCGAGGTCGCGTTGCGCCAGATCCTGCGCGTCGGCGTTCGCCCGCGCGGCAAGCAGCGAGACCTGCTGGGCGGCGAAGTCGCCGACGCCGCCTGAGAGGATCAGCGCCCGCCTGAGGCCCGCCGCCTGCGCCGCGCTCGGCTGCGGGCACCAGTCCGAGCAGCAGCTCGCCGCTCGCGCCCCCCGCTCCGACGCGTTGGGGGACCCGCCGTGCCAGCCGCGCGTTCGATCGGCTGATCCGCGCGCGCCCCCGCGCGCAGGCAGTTTGCTACCCGCGCCAGCCAGGCAGCCTCCGCAGATGCACGAGGCGACCTGCTGGAGCGCACCTGGTCCCGCTGCGCCCACTTGGTGGCCGCCTGCTCTGCGCGGCCGAAGTGCTGGCTGCCGACGCCCTGCAGCTGGTAGATGTCGACCCGCTCGCGCTCGGCCTGCCGCGGAAACCGCCTCCAGGCCGCCGACGAGGCGTCTTCGTCACACAGGTGCCCTAGACACCCCATTCCGGCACCTGCGAGGGCGCCCGCGACTCGCGGGCACGGCGCGGCCAGTGGACGACTCCCCCATTCGATCACTGTCCCAAAATCATTTGAAGCTGCTGCCGAGTGCTCTGCCACCAGCGCCCGTGGTCGACCCCGCTGCGCCCTGGGGGCCTAAACATCGAGAAGGTACGAGGGACCTGCACATCCTGGAACCGCGGCCGCTCGGTCTGCGCCACCACGTCCAGCGCCGCCGGCGAGTGCGGATGCACTGGCGCGCCTTCCACCGCGCGCGCGCCCTTGACCTTCAGCCCACGCGACACCAGAAAGCAATCAATGACCCTCCCCGACGCGGCGCGCGTCGCCAGGGCCAGCCGCGCGACGTCCGCGTCGAACAGTAGCAGGAGGCCGCCCTGCTGCAAAACGTCCGCTGTCATGTCGAAGTCGCCCCCGACCACGCACGGCTTCCCGTGCTGCTTGAGGCGCCGCGCGGGCAACTTCAGAGCCTCATAGTTGTCCGCAATCATGCTCACGCCCGCTTCGTGGTAGACATTGAAAAGAAGCAGCCCGCCCTGGCAGGTGCCTGAGTGGCAGCTGATGTGGGCCCTGCCCGGCACGACCACAGGCGCCTGGCTGCGACGGATCTCCGCCAGGCCGCGCTCGGCCCGCACCGTGGCGAGCAGCCCCCCAGTGCTCCATCCCCCTGCCGCCGAGAAAGCGCGGCGGCACACCGCCCTCGCTTGCCCCGCGCCCGGAGCTGGCCCACGGAATCAGCGCCTCTCTCGACCGAGAGGCGGGTCGCAATCCTGCGCGGCGTTCAGCTCCAAGCACCGGTCCAGGTTACTGAACGCGTTAAAGTTCAGGATGCAGATCCGCCGCGGTTCCTCGCCACCGGCATTTAAATTTCTTGGCGGCGGCCTCCTCGGCAACAGTCTTGCCCGCGTGCAGGTGCAGCTCCTGCGGCCACTTCCTGTTGTCCGCGTCGCCCTTGCAGAACTCCTCCGCCACCGACGCGAAATGCGCCACCGTGAACCCTTCGGGTCCCTGCTCCATTGCGGCACTGCCCCCAGCCACCTGCTCGGCGACCGCGGCGGGCGCGGAAGCCTCCGCAGCCTCTGAGGGGGCCGCCGCCGCCTGGGCGGCGGCTGCCACCTCCTTGGCGGCCTGCGCCTGCTCGCTGATGCTCGCGACCAGATCGACCACCGACTGCTTGGCGGCGCCCAACTCCTGGTCCCGCAGCGCCCGCGCCATTTCCGCGACTTTCTTGGCCTGCTCGCCCAGGAGCGCGGCGAACCGCTGGGCATCCTTCGCAGCCTTCTCGGCGAGCTGCACCTCTGCGCTGGGAGGGGCTTCCGCTGGCGCAGCAGCCTCTCGCCCAGCCAGCTCCTCCTTCGCCTTAGCGACGGCCTCGTCGAGCTCCGCCTTGATGTCGGCCACGCTGCTCCGCTGCAGCCGCGCCGCCTCCAGCGCCTCGATCGCCACGGTCTTTCGTTTGTCCAACAAGGTGCGGGCAGCTTGGAGTTGTTTTGCCTTCTCGTCCTCCAGGCGCTGCGCTTTGTTGGCCTGGTCGACGTCTAAGAACTTCGTGCCCACGCCAAGCGCCCGCAGGTTGCGCAGCGTCCTGATTCGGCTGACGATCCTGTCCTCCAACGTGCTGGCCACGCTCTCGAAGTCGGCCATGTCCGCATACGCCTCAATGGCTCGATCGGGGAGCTCCAGGACGCCTCTCGCAGGCTGCCCGCCACCTCCACGCCCATCTCCTTTGCACCAAGCAGCTGGCTTGAGCGGCTTGCCAGCGCCACCTAATTGTGCACCATCGCCACCGCGACGGCGAGCAGGAGGAGGAGGAAACGGACGCACCACGAAGTCGCCCAGCACCGCGCCTGCTCCTGCCTTGCGCACCAGCGGCCGCCTCCCTTTGCAACCCAGCGCGCGGCAGGTGTCCCTCTCGCCGAAATCATAATACCCGCAGCCTTCGCACTTGCAGTGCCACCCTGGGGACCACACTCCTGCAGCACGCCCTGGCACGCCCTGGTGACGCCATCTTGCCTGCCGCGGACCCGTGGTGGGCGTCGGGGAGCACGGCCGCCTTGACCAGGCGCGTCCGCATCCGTGCGGAAGACGCCCCTCGACAGGCACGAAGCAAGAAACGCGCGTAAGCACGTTAGCGGCGAGCACGCCGATGCCACGCCTCCTCGAAGGCGCGATGGTCCCAGCCCGAATCCGCTCGCGACAACTGGGTTGTCGCATCCCTAGCTCTCGGGCCGAAGCTGGAGGGAGAGAGGGGGGGAGAGGCGAATCACCATGCTCGACCTACGATCAACGAGGAACGCTGAATGATAGGAGTGAAGGCCCGTTTGGGCCCCAGAAGGGCACAGGTGAACGAGGAGCGCTAGAGCAGCAGCAGTTTACGTAAGGACCCATGAGGAAAAGCGAGTCCCTTCCAAATCCGAACTGTTCCGTATTTCACCGCCTCCCCTCGTCGCCGTCACCACCGCGATCATGGCCGACGTCGTCACCGCCGCATTCGCCGTCGCCTGGACCAACTCCTGTCAACACTTGTCCCCATGGCCCCGTCCGGGGACCCTCATGTTCAGTTCTCCTAGCCGCGTCCAGCTGTTGCGAACAAAAAGTGCAATGAAGCCCACCAACCTCCGAAACGAGGACGTCGACGTCGCCGCCTTCGTCGTCGTCGCCTGCGCCCGCCGTAGTCACCGCCATCCTCGTCGCCGCCTTCGCGGCTCTGCCGTCGGCACTGGCGCCGCAGTCGCCGACACCGTCCCCGCTGCCGCCGCCTGGGCCGCCATCTGTGCCATCATCGTCTCCGCCGTCATCGCCGCCGACGTTGGGGAAACCCCTAGATACCCATACTGCTACTCCCCAGACTTCTCCAAGGGTGCGGTCAGACCCGAATTTCGAGGCGCATCCAGCGGTGGCGACGAGGGCTTCCCAGCGGGCCCAAAAAGGCGAAACAGAAGGAAGGGCACCAATCTATGTATTTGTTACTCCTCTGAGTCTTGGCGGCGCGCACAAGGGGGTAGGGGGAGGGGGGAACGCTTCTCAGAACCAGGCTGCTTCTTGGCAGGCGCCAGCCCTGCATCTGCAGAGAAGGCCCGCGCCTTCTGAGAAGCAGGGGTGCTCCTAAGAAGCCTGCCCCCCTCCCCCTGCCCCCCTCTGCGCGTGGCGGAAAACCGCCGTCTCCGCCGTCATCGCCGCCGTCGTCTCCCCCGCCGCCGCTGTCGACGATTGAGCAGGGACCGACCGTCCCGGCATTTCTATAGGCCTACCACGAAAGATTCTCAGTTAGAACATAAAAATGGTCTAAGAACAATAACAACATTCTTACAACATTAACCCGATGCGTTGAAACAAAACAATTCCAGCCAGATATGTTGAACATTTCGCGGAAACCACAGAAGGTTCTCAGACCACTGTTTGGTAGCAATATAGGCACGCCAGGACGCTTCGCCACTGCTCGAGACGTCCGCCCCGAGGGCGGAGGCCGGAGGAGCTCCGAGCCCGACTCGTTGCGGTCCGGCGTGATGATGCGGCAGCCGGTGCCCGCCTCCCGCGCGCGGCCGCCCGTCCCTCACCGGGAGGAGCTCGCTCGGCTGCAGCGCGAAGGTGTGCCCTCGGGCCTCGAGGATCGAGGACGGGCTCGTGGTGATCTCTTTATCTGTTTCTTCTATATGGAGAAGTGTGCGTATGCATGTATGTGTGTAAGTATGTATGTATGCATGCATGCATGCATGCATGCGTGGATGCATGTGTGTGCATGTGTGTATGTACGTCCGTATGTATGTATGTGTGTGAATGTATGTATACGTGTATGTAGGCTGATAGGTAGGTGGGTAGGTATGGATGCATTCGTGTACATGGCTGTATGTGTGTAGTATGTATGTACGTATGCATGTATGCATGTATGTATATGCATGTATGTGTGTACGTGTGTGTGTGTTCACATGTATGTGTATATACATATGTGTATATCTATGCACGTGTATATGTATAGGCATGTCTGCATGCATGCATGCATGCATGCATGGTTGTATGTACGTATGCAAGCATGCACGCGTACGTATGCATGCATGCACGCGTGTATGTGTATGTATGTGGGTATGTGTGTATGTATTTAGGTAGGTATGTATATCCATCGGTATACTTGCATGTCTTTGTGTATGTATGTATATGGATATGTGTATGTGTACGTATACGTAAGTGTGTGCGTGCATACATATGTATGGCTGTATGCATGCATGCATGCATGCATTTAGGTGTGCACGTATGTGTATAACATCTGTATCTGTGTATGCGTGTATGTATGTATGTATGTATGTTTGTATGTATGTATGTATAATTAGATATATGTTTGTATGTGTGTGTATGTATGTATGTATGTATGAATGTATGTATGTATGTATGTATGTATGTATGTAGGTAGGTATGTTTGTGTGTATGTGTGTATGTATATGTGTGTTTATGTATGTATGTATGCATGTATGTGTACGCATGTATGTATGAAAGAAAATAAGTACGTATGTGTATATATGTATGCGCGCACATACGTATGTATGTAGGTCGGTGGGTAGTTTGGTCGGTATGTCTGTATAGATGTGGATATATATATATATGTGTGTGTACGCATCTTTATCTCTCTCTCACTCCCTCTCTCCCTATATATATATATATATATATGTGTGTATCGGAGGTGAGGGGGTGAGATCGAAGTGGAACGGCGAGCCCCCTCTTGGGACATCGATTTCGGTTTCGTGTTCGTGCGAGCCGTGCGTGCGGGCGAGGCGAAGCTGCGTGGGCAGGCGAGAAGAAAAGTCTCTTGTGGCTGAGGCGCGGCCGGACCAAATGACTCCCTTCCGGCGTCCGGTGGGGCGCGGTGTCCCCCCGGTGTCCCGCTGTGGCTGAGGCGCGGCCGGACCAAATGACTTCCTTCCGGCGTCCGGTGGGGCGCGGTGTCCCCCCGGTGTCCCGCATGTGTGCCGTCGGCGTCCCGATGGTGACGGTGATGATGATGATGATGACGACGATGATGATGATGATGATTATGATGATGATGATGATGGTGATGATGATGATGTCCCGATGGTGATGATGATGTTGATGATGTTGATGATGATGGTGATGATGATGGCCATGGTGGTGATGATGATGGTGTCCCGATGATGATGTTGATGATGCTGATGATGATGATGATGCTGATGATGATGATGTTGATGATCCTGATGATGATGATATGCTGATGATGATGAATCTGATGATGGTGGTGTCCCGCTGATGATAGTGGGGGGCGTGACAGCCGGGGCAACTTGCAGAGGACCCCGAAGAGGACTCCCGGCCACGACGTGTTGGACGGGACACGGAGGTGCCTGGATTTTGCAGGGCCGAGCTGCTAGTCACACCTCACTGCACGTCGAGGAAGGGGGGCGAGCCTCGAGGGACGAGTGAAGAGGAGGAGAGGGGGAGGGAGACGGAGGGGGGAGGGCGAGGAGGAAGGAGGGCGAGGAGTAAAGAGGGGGAGGAGGAGGGAGAAGGGAGGATGCGAGGAGGCGACGATGAACGGGAGGGCGGGGCACGGAGGCGGGATGGGTGGGCCGCGCAGAAGCCTGGAGGTCCTTGATGTTGCACCCGCCTGCGGGGGCGGCGGTCGGGGCGAGCACAGGCGTCGGAGGCAGGGGGAAACGGAGCGGAGAGGGTGGGAGGTGGATGCGGAGAGTGGGGCGGGAGGAGGAGGGGAAGGTCGGGTGGGGGGGGAGGGAAAGGAGGGAGGGGCGGGGGGCTGTGGAAGGGGAGGAGGAGGGGCGGAACGGGAGGTCAAGGAGGGGGGCTGGGGAAGGGGAGGAGTGGCGGAATGGGGGGGCTGGGGAAAGGGGAGGGGGGGGAGGGGGGCTGGGAAGGGAGGGGAGGAGGGGCGGAATGGGAGATTGAGGGGGGCGAGGAGAAGTGGGGAGGGAGTGGGAGAGGGCGACGAGGCGCACGAAGACAGGGACACGTATTAGGAGGAATCCCACAAGCTCTCCGGGCGAAGCTGGTGTGACGAGTTTGTTTTCACCTCTGCCCCCAAACCATTCCTCTCCACATCGGGAAGGGGCTCATCACTGCTCCGTAACTGAGTATGCACCCCCGACACACCCGAAAAGTGACAAAACCAGGGACCATGGCGACACTCCCCCTCCATCCCTTGCAGAAAACAATCCGCCACAGTGCCCTTGTGGCACGACGTGGAATGTCCCCAGGTCCCTTGCTCCTCCGAAAGGCGTTTCAATGCCTTCGGGTTCTTGACTCGTCGAGCTTCCGACGCTCCAAGACGGCCCAAGAGGCCCCAATGACCGCCACAAGACGGCCCAGAAGGCCCCCAAGAGGGTCCCAAGACAGCCCAAGGAGAGCCCCAAGACGGCCCAAGAAGCGCCCGAGTCGGCGGCCCCAGGGAGGCTTGCGCTTTCGCCGCGCACTCAACTGCTTGTGTCGCTGCACGCGCTTCGTGCAGGCGCGCCGCTGGGATCCCGCCTGTGCGGGTCCGGCGCCTCGGGGTCTCGCGCGTCGCAGGCGTGGGCGCTTGCGTCCTGCCGACGCGGACGGCGCGCGCGCTCTCGCCCCACCCTCCCGCTCCTGGGGCAATTGCGTCCCTGTCGCCCCGCACATCGGCTTTGTCTGGCACCGCCAGGCCTCCTCCTCCTTCTCCTCCTCCTCCTCCTCCTCCTCCTCCTCCTCCTCTGGGCGGCGCTGAGAGTGGCGCCCCCCTTGCCAGGGGCTGCGGGCACCTTCGGACGCGGAAGGTCGTGGGCGCAGCTGGAATCTGCGTGACGGCCCCCGGGGCCGAGAGCGGCCTGCGGGCGTCTCCGTCATGATTTGCGTGGTGGCGCCCGATGCGGGCACTGTCTACAGGGCAGCTTTACATGCATGGGATGTTTTAATGTATGAGTTTGACACATGATTAATTTACGAATAAATCTGCATGAACTCATCGTTGTTTTTAATACTAACCCCTGCATGTGTAATACAGGATCCGCACGTGGGGCATGTATCAAAACGGCACTGTATATCCACATCCAGTGCGTCTTGGAGTTTTGGGCTCTCTTCCCCAGAAGCATGAGGCGCACTGGATATGGATGAACATCTGGCCCCACAAGACGCGACGTTTATACCTGTCCAGTGCGCCTCGGCCTTGCGGCTCCCCTTCCAAGAAAGTCCAAGACGCTCTGGATATGGATGTAAGTATTGCCCGCGCCTGAGGCCTGCGCAGAGGGGGGGTGGCGCCGCGGGCCTTTGCCGATTATCTTGCCAATGTCGCGGTCGTCAACATCCTCGAAGTCCTCGGGTGGGGGGCGCCGCCGCGGCGGGAAGAGGGAGGAGGAGGAGGAGGAAGAGGGAGGAAGAGGAAGAAGAAGGAGGAGGAGGAGGAGGAGGAGGAGCAGTGGGCGATGTTCCACATGAGGGAATCGTGTGCCTGGTGGTGTTTCGCAGTTGTCGGGCCACCAGAGCTCTCCACGGGCCAAGGGGTGTTGAAGCAAGAACTTCGGATGAAGAGCAGGTCCAGCGCAAAACCACGGGGTCTGGGATCCGTTTCGTCAGGACCCCCTCCCTTCATGACAATGTCTGAGCGGCTTGCCTCTGGGGGGGGAAGGCCTCCTCCTCCGCCTCCGCTGCCGCAAGCCTCCAGGAGGAGACTCCTGGCCGCAGGACACCAGACGAACCGGCTCAAGAACTCCCGCCTCGTCGGTCTTGCAGCGGACGGACTGCAAGGCCCAGCCACCGGCACGGCCAGACTGGTGACGGGGGGCGGGCGAGAGGAGTCGCAAGGGAAGGGCGTGAGGATGCAGACGAGGAGGGACAGGACGAGGAGGATCAGGACACGGAGGGTCAGGAGGAGGAAGGATGCCCAACGACAAATGCCGAATGCTGTCCAACATCGACGTCGGCAGCTGTCGGGCGGGCGCTTCGCGTCCCCAGCGGACACCGTCCGTGGCGACGCCGGCAGTGGGCAGGGGTTGCTGTGCGTAACAATCGACCCCATTCTTCTCGTCACGTGTGCATCCTCCCGAGGCCAGGTTTCGACGCTGCTATCCGAGAGAGGCTGCCATGAAGGAGACAGAAAAACAGGATAAGCCGCCTTGGAGGCGCAATCAAGTCTCCCGACAACGCTCCAAGATCGGGATCCGCCAAAGGGGGGGGACCCTGAGGGGGGGGGGGGACCCTGAGGGGGGGGGACCCTGAGGGGGGGGGGTGAGTTAGATCCGCTGGTGCATCGAATTTCCGCAAAACGATGCCCCCCGCGCGCCCCGATTGTCAACACCTCTCGGGATCCGGCGGCGGCCGGAGACCTCGCTTTGCATCGTTTTTCTGCGGTCCGATGCGCCAACAGAACGAACTCACCCCCCCTGTGGCCCCCCCCCCCTTTGCGAGGTCCCGACAGGATTCTGAGTGGAGCGGGGGCCGGACCCATGAGGGCAGCCCTCTGGGACAGGCCCCATGCGGCATCATCTTACGGCCCTGCCCTGCCCGTCGATGGCCCCGGGAAGCAGGAGGGCATGTTTCCCCCAGGACCTGCTTGGTTCCTGGGGGGGCAACGATAGGGGGGGACTGGCATAGGGGCGGACGCATCGACCTGGAATCGGCGATACATCGCCGATAGATCGGCGATAGGCCTCCGATAGTGAAAACACACCTTCCTGGCCAGGTTGGGGCTATCGGGCCCCTATCGACGATCAATGGGCGATTGGGGGTCGATGCATCCCCCCCAGCCTATCCCCCCTATCGTTGCCACTGACTTCCTTGGGACGGAACAGATGTCACGATACGACTGGCTCAGGATGATCCAGCGGACCTCGTTTCGGGAGCCCGCGAGGAGCAGTGGGGAACCTTGGAAATACTGCAACCATGTCATGAATTATCATGAACTCGTGTTCTTTTGCGTCATGGCGAGAAATGGAGGCTCATGGCGAGAAAGGGAGAGAACCTCCCGATCCTCGGACATCGCAGCGGCGAGCTCCCCTGCTCTCCGCCGGCAGGCGGGCGTTGGAGAAGGGACCAGCCCTTAGGGCGTTCTTCGCCGCCACAGCCGCCATCGTCGGTCGTCGCCGTCGTCGAAGAAAGACGCCGAAGGTCGTCGGTCGAGGGTCGCAATCGCCAATCGCCGGTCATCGCTGGTCTTCGCGATTGTCGTCGCCAGCAGCTCTCGTCAGTCTTCGTCGATCGCTGCCGCCGCTGTCGTCGGAGGTCGCCGTCGCCGTCGTCGGCGGTGGCAGCAGCTGGCCGGCGGCGGGGCGGGCCGGCGGGTGCCTCCACGCGCCCGTAGCCGCCGCCGCCGCCGCCCTTCTGGCCGCCCTTGTGGCCGCCTGGCTCGGCGGGGGCGCAGTGCGCGCACGCGCAGAGGCTGGGACGCACAGGGACATACTGGTACTGTATGTCCTCCTTGGAGGTGCGCGTCCGGACCGAACAGATAGTATACCCATCTTGTAGTAGATCGTTTCCCAAGCGGTGTGGCCAGAAAGCGCCCGCCACGACGCATATACCATACGATTTCTCGGTGCGCGCGTCGCCCCGGGGGGGGGGGGGGGGGCGATGCACATATAGTACAAGTACGTTTGGGTGGCGCCGAAAGGCGGGCGGGCCGCGGCCCATAGCGCGCGGGGCTACGGTGGTGTCGGCTGCGACGGGGAGGTGGGCCACGATGTCGGGGGAGGGCCAGTCGAGCCCTTCGGGCGCGCTCTCTCGGAGCAGCCGCCCGCCGTCAGCAGGTCGCGTCGGAGAGTTTCCGCCCACTCGCGTGCGCCGAAGAGGGGGGCCTAGGAGGAATTGAAGTGCATCTTCAGGGAGCCGAGTCTGTCCCGTCGCGCCGCGATCCACGTCGAATCCGTGTCGAGTGCGTGTAGAGCGCGTCGAACCCGTGTCGAAACCGTATCGAATTTGTGTCGGATCCGTGTCGGATCCACGTCCGCGTCGAACCCACGTTGGAGTACAAGGGAATACTGCCATTTGCAGGACGGGAGAGGCCCCCCGAAGATGCACAGCAAGCCGAGGGGGGGTCGGCGCAGCATGGCCCGAGGCACGGAGGGCGGCGCAGGACGGACGGCGGCCCTACGGGGCAACGCCGTTCTCCCTCGGCACGCCAGTCTAGGGCCGCTGGGCACGGAAAGGGCGCGTCCTCGGGTCGTTTGCCGGATCCTCGAAGCCTCAGTCCTGACCTGCTCTCGCTGTCGCTCGTTGCTGGGCCTCGGGAGACCGCAGCATAGAGTCCGTGTGGCCAGCTAGAGAGTTCATTCTGGAGGTCGGAAAGGGGTGTGGGCACCGCACCCCTTGGTGCCACACCCCTTTCCTAGCTCCAGATTCATGCGTGCATGTAGGATCCTTTCAGGGGCCCGGGGCCCAGACTCCGAACACTCCTGGGGCTGCCCGCGTGCTCCCTGGGCTTTGGGCAGCGGTGGCGCGTCAAGCGTTCGGGCCAAAAGATGGCCCCAAGACGGGTCAAGAGGGCCCCACGAGGTCCCCAAGACAGTCCAGGAGGGCGCCGAGCCGCCCAAAGATCGGCCCAAGACGCCCAAGATGGCCTCAATGGCCTGAAGATGGCCCAAGAGGCCTCCAAGACACCTCCCAAGAGGGCCTCCAGAGGCAGAAATTTGACAGATTGTGGCGGTCTCGCCTTCTCAGCTTTCGGACGCTCCAAGATGGCCCAATAGGCCCCAACGACCACCCCACAACAGTCCCAGAGGTCTCCAAGCGCCAAGACGGCCTAAGAGCCCCCCAAAGCTTCCCAGGACACCCCAAACAAGTACCCATGAGGCCTGTGACCCACAAGGGCCCACAAGCCAGGCAGAGCGGCGGGATTAGCCGAAGGCCAGTAGGCAGATGTTCCACCACCACCACCACCACCACCATAGGTAGCACGGGGGAGAAGGGAGGATGGGGAGGCTCTCCTCCTCCCTTCTCCTCCTCCTCCTGCTTCCTCGCCTGCCCATTGTAGCAGTGGTGGAAAGTGGCCCATCAAGACGAATGAAAAGTGTGTCGTAAAGTGGGGGAAGGAACAGGCCGCCCGCACGCAGCTGGCCTCCCCGGCGCCTCCCGCCGCAACGGAGGCGCACCAGTGTCGAGGGACCCGCCCGACGGCGGGGACGCCAACGACGACGACGACGACGCCGACGGCAGGCGAAGATGTTCCAATGCTTCCTGCGACGACGACGACGACGGCGATGACGACGACGACGGCGACAGATGACGACGACGACGACGACGACGACGACGACGGCAGTACGACGACGACGGCAGGCCCTTTTCTGGGGCCCAGGGACCTCTAGGGTCGGGACCTCTGGGGACCGAGACCCTTTAGCCATTCCCCCTCATCGTACGAGCCGAGGATCCTCGATCCCTCCACACATGCTCGATCCTGGGTCCGCGATGCTCCCTCACACCACTCTCCGTCCTCCTCCATCCTCCTCGTGCATGCTTCCTCCTCCTTCGCCCAAGCAGTTCCCAGAACCCCCCGCACCTTTCGTCCGAATCGATCTTAGAGGCCTCCCAGATAGGGTCGGAGCATATAGGGTCGGAGGATCGCGGCGTATCGTCGATGTATCACCGATGCATCGGCGACGTTAGCGTCGCGCCGCCGATGCATCGATGATGTGGTGCGATCCTCTGACCTCATCTGCTCCGACCCCATCTGTAGAGGCACTAACAAACTGAGTACACATGAACTGTTGGAGCTCTGCACGGACTTCTTGGATCTGCGCTGGACCCCTCCCTCCCTGGCGAACTCCGCGCACCAAGCGCGGCGCACAGGGCGCCGCCGAGCGGACCCCAGCGCCGATCCAGTGAACTCGGGCGGAGCTCCAAAAGCTTATGCTGATGCCAGTATTTCTCCTTCGAACCTGGGAGGCCTAGAGATCCTCAGAGGCCTCCTACACGGGGTTCGAATGACGGGGTTCAAGGCCAATGCATCCGCGATGCATCGGCGACGTCAAAGATGTATCGCCGACGTCGGCGTGGGGGAACACGGGCTCCACATCGAACCGCATCGGCGATGCATCGGCGATGCGGCGCGATCCTCCGACCCCATCTGCTCTGACCCCATCTAGGAAGCCGGGGATCTACTGACCCGGGTCAATCCAATCCACATTCAGGTCAGTCAAACTTTGCAGGATCTTGCAGGACCCTGCACAAAATCCGGGGTCAGTGCAGCCCTGGCTGCTCTGTGGGATCATGAAACCTCTGGCGCTCTGACTGAACCCCGCCTGCATCGACTTTCATCTCTCGGCCCCCGGGTAGAGATCCTGCCCCCTCTGGCCCCCCTGCCCCTGCGGGCCCCAAGAATATACACCACCACCACCACCTCCATCACCCCTCCCCCCTTCCTACCATCCCCTTCCCCTCCTCTGTCCTGGGAGAGGCTTCGAGGGAGCTGGTGGTGGTGGTGGTCTATTCTTGGGCCTCGCTGCTCCGCCGTAGCCGCCGCCGCCGCCCTTCATGGCCGCCCGCGGCGGGGCCCGCGCCGCCCAGGGGGGGGCGGGGCGCCCGGGCCGCCGCGGCCTCCTGCCCGGGGCCGGCGACGGCGGCGCGGCGCGGCGCCGTCCCCGGGCCTGCCGGGGAGGCCGAGACACACCGCGGGGCCAGGGACGGAAGGACGTCCTTCCGTCGGCCAAGACGCACGGAGCATCCAAGGGCGCCCCCGGGATGCACAAGAGCAGCCAGCAACCACGAAGAGCATGGGTACACCATCCCCGAACCGACCTCGATCTTATGCCTCGGTCCGACCGCACTGCGGGGCGAGGATGTGTCCAAAATGATGCACCGCCAGTGTAACCGAAAGACTGGGACCCCTGCGGGCGGTGGATATGAATCTGTCCAGCCCCGAGGGGTCAAAACAACAGACGCAAACCAAGCCAAACCCCGACCCTGCGTGGACGGGCGCCCCCCGAGTCTGCCCCCCGCCGGCGCCCCCGAAAACAAAGTCAGGGCTGGTAGGGGGCCCGACGCCCAAGGCAGGCGAACAAAGCTCATTGAGACCACTGAGGATCCAAAGGGGCTCGGGGGAGAGAAGGGACAATCGCCCAGCGCTCAGGGATGACCCCGCGGAACCAACAACAGGCGCGAGACTCATGTTGCGCCGCGGCCTCGGGCGTCAGGCTGTCTGTCTGGACGTGGGCCTTCGACTCGACGCTGCAACGGCGCAGCCGCGACCTATGTAGCGGAAGACCGGCGCTTCTCATGTCGCGCAGGTTGCTGCATAGATACCTCTAACCTCGTCCATGGTGCGGTGGGACTAGACCCCTCTCGAAGCGATGCTACGGCCGTTTCGGGCTTCTTCCAGGATGTGCAGGAAGCGACGACACGATACATTGTCGGCACCGTCTTGGAGGTCCTATCCACAGCAATGGCTGGATACTGAAACACATTCATTGATGAACGCGACCGCGTGCTCAAACTCATCCACCATCGAGGAGATGTCGCCAAAGGGACCCCACTGGTCGAAGATGAAAGCCTGACGATCTGGCTTCCGCACCTGCCTAGTGCCCCACTCTGTCGGCGACACCGGGCCCCAACGATGCTTCAAAAGGTGCGTCGCAAGCGCCGACAGCGGCACGCGCGCATGCCGCGACCGCATATACGCTGGGATGTCCGCAAGATCGGACACGACAAGCGGGCATGCCCGAGAGACTCCTGAATGTAACTTCGGCTATGCCTGCCTCGCTGTCAACCAGGGCATGGGCTCTTTGGCTGGCAGCCTGCAGCCTGGACTCATGTGGTGGCAACGTAAGTCGAACGCGGTAGTTCGGCAGCGGCCACGGCGAGCAAAACTCGCTACCTGCCCCGACTTCCTTCTCGCACTGGTCATATTGCCTCCGAAGACGCCTGGAACCTCGCGGCCGTAGCGCAGTGTCCGGCTGGTTGCGCACGCGCCTGCTCCAGGCGGACCGCGGGGCGACGCCTCCTCGACGCCCGCCCGCGCGGACCGACCGATCTTGGAGGTCATCTGGCTGGACTTGGCAACTCTCCTCCTGGCCGTCGCTTTCGCTTCGCGTCTTCCTCACATGTAGATGCCCAAGTCCGCTGTCTGGAGGACGGGCACCACCGCGACCCCTTCGGCCTTCGGCTTCACAAGTATGACCTTGGCATCTTGCAACTTCGAGCACGGGGCGGCGATCTTGGCCGCGACCTTGAGCCCATCCTGGTCGAGGACCTGGCTGGTCTGGGACGGCACTAGGACCAAAAGGCTGCAAGTAGTTTGCCTCGAGCCCGCCAGGACCTGTGACAAGTCATCGATCCGCAGCCGCATGTCCACCAGCGGGCGCGGCTTCGTCATCTGCTCAAGGACAAAGTAGATCATGCAACTGGCGAACGCGGCCCCGCCGCGGAGACGCTGAATCACGCCCGTCGTTGGCAGGGGGGCCGCCCAGAAGGAGTCGCGCGAAGGCGTAGTTCTGGCGGCCAGGCGCAACTGAAGTTCGCGATGGGCCGCTGAAGGAGCAAACCCCGAGTAGAGCAGCTCGAGGGCTTTGGCGGCCATTCTCATCCGACATATGCTGCCGTGAAAACTCTGCACATCCATCGACCCATTGGTGAAATCGATCACCGGAGACTGTGCGAATCGTCGCTGGCTGCTCTAGCAAGGCCTTCCCGCGGCGCGTCGTTGCCTGCAACGGCTGCGACACAGAAAGGCGGAGAGTCCGCGGGCCGCCCGCGGGTCCGAGGCTCTCTTGTCTCGACCAATTACGCGGAATTATCGACAACGTCTTATGACGCGGTCTCCTCCAAACTTTTCTGCGCGCGCGCGCGGCCGGTAGACAGCGAGAGCTGCCATGGCCACGTCGGAAACGCTTCAGCACCGTTCAAATGCATGGTCAACTCACCCAAGCCTTCGGGGGGCGCCCGTTCGATATCCAAGGGGGGCGAGCGGTCTACGCCTTGCCCCGCGCGGGGTGTCATCGCGCGGGCCGCGCCCTGGATCGCAGCGCCGGACATGGCTCGAATGCTGCGCATATCAGTTGCAGAACGTACGTCATCCACAACTTGAGACAACCTCATGCCAGCGGGATCTGAGCGACGAACCCAGAGACTACGCCAATGTGTGGACTTGGAGTGATGTAGCACTTCTCCTTTGAGTACTCACTCCTCCACTGGGGGGGGGGGCATTGGACTTACTAGACATGTGCAGCACTGGAATCAACGACTCTGCGGCCATCCAAACGCGAAGCTCCTGTAGTGAAGAAAGGAATGTCTCACCTCTGGCTCGCCTGGTAGCGCGCGTTGATGCGTCGATGATCTCCTTGAGTTGAAAGATCGAAGTCTCGATTGGCTGACCCAAAGATCAAAGCAAGACTGCCGGGCCCACTTCTCCGCGCAAGAGAGATGGACCGTGGAGCAAAAACAATCTGAGACAAGACGACTGCGCGATGCAATGGAAGCCCGGCGCTGCTCGGCCCCATTCTGGCGCCCCTTGCGATAGGGCGCCCCCTCGAGAATAGTGAGCGCTCTGCCCCGGCGAGCAGTTGCGCGGTCCATCGGCGGCGCTGCGCTAAACAGGCGCGCGTGCCCCCTCGACGATGAGACGGGGCCCGCCCGCGCGACGCGGCCCCTCGCCCGCGCCCTGCCCGCGGTGACTCTCGATGGTTCTTTCCGCGGCCCATGCCCAAGCAGTGCGCTTTCCGCCGAGGGCGTCGACGCACTCGGCCCCGCGCGCGGTCGGCGAGCGACCCCCCGGCCACGGGCCAGGTGCGGGGGGCGGAGACGGAGCCGGCATCAGAACGACGCCTGGCCCAAAACGAATACAAAATGAAAAGCGTTGGAAGCTGGGCATCAGCAGCGCCTGCATTGCTGGCGGTTTGCCGAGGGGCCTGGGGGCCCTGACCTGCACCCAGCAACGCGCGCCTGCTGAGGCGACGGGGCCGCTGCAGACTCGGAAGGGAGGGCGGGGCTCGGAACCGGGAAGGCTTAGACTTGTAGGCGACGCTCCAGGGCCCAGACTTCCAGAGATCAAAGAAAGCTCGGCGGCTTTGCCACGCGCCCCGAAGACGCGTTCCTCGGCCAAGGGGCCCTCCTCCTCGTCGGGATAACCAACGCGGCCAAGGTTTTCAAATGGGCGTAAGGGCCCTGGGCCAGGATCCCAGCGCGAGGGCCTTGGCGGGCCGGGGGGCGGCCCCTCGCCTAAATCCTGCGAGCCTGTCCCACCGCCTGGGTTCTGGGGCCTCCTCGCCGACCGCATCTCCAGAAAGTTGCGCGCGCTCTGCTAAAACTTTGCCGCGAGCCTTTTTGAAACCCGAGCAGCGCGCTGCCTCCGGGCCGCAGAAGATTCAGAGTCGGGGGAAAGAGGGGGGGGGCCGCGGGGCCTGGGGAGACTTGGCGGGGAGCCAAAGCCTTAGTGGCCAATTGGAAGCACTGCCCGCGCAACCTCAACAGGAGCCCGCGATGCGTTCTCCTCGGCGCATCGATGACGTCGGCGACATCAACCACGCACGGCGCAGAACTGAAACTGCAGATCGCGAAATCACGCAACGCGCCAGTTATCTCGCTGCCGGCAGCGCGAGCGGCGCGCGCGTAAGCGGATGAACGAACTGTTCCGCTGATCTTCTCCACAGAACCTTGCTCGACTAGGCCGCTCGGGTTCGCGCCCCAGGTCTCCCCGGGCAATCCGAGGCATCAGAAGACCCCATCAACGACGCAGGACCGCTGCATGTTAGGCGCCGACCAGCCCTCCCCAGAGAAGCCGTAGAAACACACGGCGACGAAAGAGTAACCATTCGTGTCCGCGAAAGCGACTTGGAAACCGCCCAGCAGCGCGTGGCCCGTCGCGAAGAGCGGAGACCTTGGGCCCGCCAGCGATAAAATGCTCCGATGCCCCTACGCTAGCATCCAGTCGCCCGCTTCGCTGGAGCGGCGCTCGGAGCCGGGTTGGACTGCCTGCCCTGGGGGTCGAGCAGGGTCGCAGAAGTCGAAAAACAACTTCGCGCGCCTTCTCCTTCCTCTCGGGTCTCTCGCCGAGGCCCGCGCGCATCTCAGCGAGAGGAATGCGCTGGACAACTGGATGATGGGACAGTGTGCCCCAGGCCTTCGCGCCCGCAACAATGACGCGAGCGAGAAACATGGCGCTGTCATTCTCCTCCACCTGCCGACTCTGGATCGGCTCCTGCAGCCGAGGCTCTTGCAGCTGGGCCATTCGACGGGCTCGGCAAGGCTGCGGGGCTGGGCTGCCCTCCGCTGGGCGACTTGGGCGACCCCCCGCCCGAGTTCGAGCCGCCGCCCGCGCCCTCCCGGGCCTCGGCCGTCTCCCGAGCCGCCGTCGCGGCCGCCAAATCCGCCTCGGAGATGCGGTCGGCGGCCTCCTCGATCCTTTTCTGATTCATGCCATGCGACTGAGGCGCTCCTGCAGCAGCGCCGCACGGCTGGCCTGGCCCCTGAGAGCCTTGGGCTCCCTCGGGCTTGGCCGCCGCCGCCGCCGCCTCCATGGCCGCTGAGGCCTCTGGAACTGCGA